AAAGGATCATGAATGTTTTTACCATATCAAATGTTAAATGTTTGAGGTTATAAGTATGTTTACTCTGATTGAACACTATGCAGTATATGCATATATAGAAATGTAACGTGATACTCCATAAGTATGTACAGCTTTTTTATGTGTTGGTTAAAATCAAAATGTTAAAAAACTTCTTCATTTATCCAAGAATGAGAACATAATTTAATCTGAGAGCTATATGTGAAGGTGGGGATGTGCTTCCAGGCACTGAGAATTTAGAATCCGGGTGGGCAAAAATGTATTTGAGGACATATCCCAAGACCCTGGGGATGTTGGCCTTTCTGAAGTGGAGGATATGGTGAACTTGGTAGACTGGCTGCATTAGAAGGATCCAAAGGTACAAGGCTTTATCTGTCCAGTAGAGGTATATTTGTCAGATCAGAGAAGTGAAATGTAACTGGTTTATTGTAATTCAGAAACAATCAAGTTTAAACCCTCCTTTGTCGTTTGAGGCTGTGGAGACAACTGACAGACTCCAGATTAGGTTTCAGTTTTCCCAAGTTCTAGCTAATTCTAGTATTCCAACCTAGATAATTATAAATAAAGCAATGACAGATTTGAAGAGAAAAAATCTTGTTTGTGGCCAAATGAGAATCTTCTTAAAACTCAGTTTTGATGATACATAAGATCACACAGTACAATAAATACATATGGTATACTACAATATGAAATGCTATGATACCATATAATGCAAATAAATATAATGCTGTACATATATAAATAATTTACCAATTTTAAGTATGCACTCTGTTGTTTTGACAAATTTATACAGCTGTATCAACACCACCAAATAAAGAACACTTCCTTTGCCCCAACAAATTCTTTGTTTTTGCTGTTTTCCTGTCAGTTCCCTAGCAATTCTGGCAACCATCAATTTGTTTTCTAGAAGAATTTTCTAAAGAGTCATATAAATAGAAACATACTGTATTAACTCTTCTTTGTCTGACTTCTTTGACTAAGCCTAATAATTTAAAGATTCAACTGTGTTGCTATTTGTGTTTGTGATTTGTTCCTTTTATTGTTGAGCATTATTTTATTATAAGGATACATAAACATTTGTATTTGGACTGTTTGAGGATTATGGCTTTTTGAAAGAAAGCCATCAGGAGCATTCACATATATATGACTTTATGTTTACACACATGTTTTCCTTTCTCTTATGTAAATACTGAGGAAAAATTACTTATTCATGGAATATATTTAACTTTTCCAAAAACTGCCAAATTATTCTCTAAATTGTTCATGACATTTTATATTCTCACCCTTATTGTTTGAGTTCCAGTTCTTCCACTTCTTTACCAATGTTAGATGGTGTTAGGCATTTAAATTTTATTCATTCAAATGGGTGTGTAGTGGCGTCTCTGATCTTATTTTACATTTCTTCGATAACTAACATTGAACATCTTTTTGTGTGACTATTGACTATTTCTGTCTTCTTTTCTGAAATGTCTGTTCAAATGCACTGAATTAAAATAATTATTATATATTCTGGATATAATTTTATATATATGTATTGTGAATATTTTCTCATGGACTGTGGTTTGCCTTTTCATTTTTCTAACAATGTATTTTGAAGCGTAGAAGCTTGTAATTTAGATAAAGCTCAATTCATGATTTTTTTCTTTCATAATTTATTCTTCGTGTTCCTTATCTATGAACCCTTTGCTCATTTTAATGTTTTAAATATTTTATATCCACTATTTTGTCTATAGTTTTTATAGTTTTATGCATTTCATTTTGAATTATTTTTTCTAAAAAGTTTAAGGTTGATTTTTTTATATAGATATTCAGTTGTTCCAGTAACATTAAAAGAAAATGCTACCATTGAGATACCTTAGTACTTTATCACCAAAAATGAGTTGGCCAAGTATATGTGAGACTATTTTTGGACTACCCATTTTATTTCATTGTCTGTTCTTGGATTATACTCATTATCTTGATTGCCACAGTCTTCAAATGAAGTAATATGAGTTCATTAACTTCTTACTTCTTTTTCACAGTTATTTTGGCATTCTTGTTCCTCTGCTTAGCCATATAAATTTTAGAAAGTGAATATATTTTGTTATTTATTTAGTACCCTAATCTTAACTGGGTCATTGTGAGTCAAGAAATTGAAGAAAATAGAAGATATACTTCAAGGAAAATCCTCACTAAACATGATGCTAGAGTAGGTGTGGCTCCAAATGATGACCCTGGTACAGAAAATGATAAGGTCCTTGAAGTAGACAAAAAAATGGAGACAGAGCCTTTTCTGAATATAAAAAGGATTTATTTTTACTTTTCTTTCAAAAATACAAAATATATTATGATTACAAGACACAGAAACAGAAGTCAAGAGGGAGGCAAGTGGGAGATGTGGGAGAAAGATTGATAGTGGAAACACAGATTTAAGCGCAAATGAAGAGAGTTTGGAGAGAAAAAAACAGGACCAAAAAATTGACCAGAGAACAGTGTACGTGACTATAATATAGGTAGAAAAAGCTAAGTCATGGGCGGTTAACTAAATGAGTTTTGAGAAGAGAGATATATAGTGTGGTGTCATGGAAACCAAGGTCAGAGATTGTTTACATGAGGCAGGGGGTTAGAAGTGTCAAGTGAAGCAGAGAAAGATGGCTTTAGCAACGCACTTCTTTAGTGACATTGCAACAATCTCCTGTGGGTATGAATATGGTGAATGTACCTTGCAAAGAAGTATGGGGGCTGGATGAGGAAGTCTATCCAGTAATTCTGCAAATGAATAGAGAACAACTGGATGGTCACTACAGGGAGCCACAGCAGCAGCTGCATGCTCTCCATGCAGGTTATACCTGCTGTTTTTTCAATCACAGCTCTCTTCCTGACTTCACTCAAAAGTACTGCTGCAATCTGCACAAAAGATTTGTTTGGTAGGACTTGAGTGATGAATTTCAGGAAAGTGATCCCAGCAGACGTTGTTTTGTAGTTTTTCTGTTTTGAGGGTATGATGACCTTTGGGCCATATTATACTTTGAAATCAAATTTCCAAGACTATACTTTGAGGGATCATTTCTATAGTTCATTACATTCACAACTCAACTGAAATGCTATTATAAGAGGTCCTGGGTGACTCTGTCACCAAATCCAGTGAATATGTCATATTATTTTTTCCTAGAATATTCATATTTATTTTTACATGCTTCTTACTGGTTTCCTGTTCATTAAGAGGGCTTGTTTTAAGTGGTGGATGTCATTGTTGGTTAGAACAGAGTGCATCAATTCACAATAGCCAAGACCTGGAACCAACCTAAATGCCCATCAACGGTAGACTGGATAAAGAAATTATGGGATATGTACTCTTTAGAATACTATACCGCAGTAAGAAACAACGAAATCCAGTCATTTGCAACAAAATGGAGGAATCTGGAACACATCATGCTGAGTGAAGTAAGCCAGTCCCAAAGGGACACATACCATATGTTCTCCCTGATCGGTGACAACTGACTGAACACCAAAAAGGAAACCTCCTGAAGTGAAATGGACACTATGAGAAATGGTGACTTGATCAGCATAGCCCTGACTGCTAATGGACAACTTAATACATTATCCCTCTTAGTAGTTTTTTTTGTCTGTTCTACTTAATATGACTGGTTTAATTCTGTAATTATCACACAGTTTTGCTTAAGTGTTGAAAATTAACTGAAATGTGATCCCTGTTAAACATAAGAGTGGGAATAAGAGAGGGAAGAGATGTATAATTTGGGGCATGCTCGGGCTGACTTGCCCCAATTGGTAGAGTTGGAAACATACCAGGGGATTCCAGTTCAATCCCATCAAGGTGGCATGTGCCAATGCCATCTCACTATTCCAGGTGATCAATTTCAGTTCACAATTGATCATAATGAAAGGACTAAGAGTCAAAGGGAGCACATAAACAAGTCTAGTACCTGCTAACACTAACCGATAGAATAAATAAAGGGGAGAGTGATCCAACATGGGAAGTGAGATACTCAGCAGACTCATAGAATGGCAGATGTCCTAAATAGCACTCTGGCCTCAGAATCAGCCCTAAAGGCACTCGGATCTGGCTGAAAAGCCCATGAGAGTATTTCAGGCATGGAAAGCCAAGACACTCTGGCAAAAAGATCTCTGTGAGTGAGACCCCAGTGGAAAGAACAGGTCATCAAAGAAGGAGGCACCTTTCTCTGAAGGGAGGAGAGAACCTCCACTTTGACTATGACCGTGTCTAAACAAGATAAGAGTCGGAGAACTCAAGGGGCTTCCATAGCCTTGGAAACTCATGACTGGTGCATAGGGAGATTGCTGATGCCATAAACAGGAGTGTCAATTTGTAAAGTCAACAACAGGAGTCACTGTGCACTTACTCCTCATGTAGGATCTCTGTCCTTAATGTGCTGTACATTGAGGCATAATGCTATAACGAGTACTCAAACAGTATATTTCACTTTGTGTTTCTATGGGGGTGCAAACAATTGAAATCTTTACTTAATGTACACTAAACTGATCTTCTGTAAAAAAAAAAAAAGAAGAAGAAATTGTCAATTCCCAACTTGACTGTCACTGGGATTAAACATGACAATAGGTCTGATCTGATTTCATCATCATTTAAAAAAATCATCTATTATTTTTCACTTTATGTTTCTGTGTGGGAGCAAACTGTTGAAATCCTTACTTAAGGTATACTAAGCTGATCTTCTGTATATTAAGATAATCGAAAATGAATCTTGATGTGAATGGAAGGAGAGAGGGAGTGGGAAAGGGGAGGGTTGTGGGTGGGAGGGACGGTATGGGGGGAAGCCATTGTAACCCATGAGTCGTACTTTGGAAATTTATATTCATTAAATAAAAGATAAAAAAAAAGAACAGAGTGCATGATTTCTCCTTGTTGTCCTTTTCTCTTCCTAACATTACTATAATTTCTGTGAGTTGAGCAGTTGCTCAGGAATCCTCTCCATATACAGGAAATAATTTGCTCAACAGTCATAATGTTTTTAAGTACAAGCCCCAAAGAGGCACAAGTAGATTTCTCTGCTCATGTGAAAGAACTCTACAACGTGAATTTGTTGATCACAAAGGAGGAAATTGGCTATCCTTATACCTTGTTTTATATCCAACTACTAATGGGAATTATTCCCTTGATGATTCCCTTTATTGCTTTCAGACCCTGATATAGCAGAACGCAGGGAAAGAACTTCACAGGAGTGAAAGAGTTCATCTTCTTGGGATTCTCTAGCTTTGGGAAGCATCAATTCACTCTCTTTATGGTTTTCTTAAACATTTACACTTTAACTTTGGCTGGTAACATCATCATCGTGACTATAACCTGCATTGACCGTCACCTCCACACTCCCATGTACTTTTTTCTGAGCATGCTGGCTAGTTCAGAGACTGTGTACACACTGGTTATTGTGCCACGAATACTTTCCAGTCTCATTTTCCATAAGCATCCCATCTCTTTGGCAGGTTGCGCAACTCAAATGTTCTTTTTTGTCACCTTGGCCATCAACAATTGCTTTCTGCTTACAGCAATGGGCTATGACCGCTTTGTGGCGATTTGCAAGCCCCTGAGGTATACAGTCATCATGAGTAAAAAAACGTGTGCCCAGTTGGTGTGTGGGTCCTTTGGCACTGGTCTGGTTATGGCAGTTCTCCAAGTGACAGCAATGTTCAAGTTGCCCTTCTGCGGCAAAGTGGTGGACCACTTCTTCTGTGACATTTACCCAGTCATGAAGCTTTCTTGCACTGATACCACGGTCAATGAAATAATCAATTATGGTGTAAGTTCATTTGTGATTCTTGTGCCCATAGGCCTGATCTTCATCTCCTATGTCCTCATCATCTCCTCCATTCTTAAAATTGCCTCTGCTGAGGGCAGGAAGAAAACCTTTGCCACATGTGCCTCCCACCTCACAGTGGTCATCGTCCACTATGGCTGTGCCTCCATTTCCTATCTCAAGCCCAAATCAGAGAGCTCAATAGATAAGGACCTTCTTCTCTCTGTGACCTACACCATCATCACTCCCCTGCTGAACCCTGTTGTTTACAGCCTAAGGAACAAGGAGGTCAAAGATGCCCTACATAGAGCTGTGGGCAGAAATATTTCTTAGCAGATGGAATCATTTATTATAGATCTTTAGCCCAGCATAATGTGAGTCTACTTACAACCAAACTACAATGCGGATGTTCATTAAACACAACATTTGTTGACTATAATGACAGAGAATAGAAATGCTTTACTTTTCATGTAAAAAAAATTAGGATTTCTGTTCTTCTGAAATTTGTTAACAGAATCATTACAAGATGAGTTGACTACTTGTTTTTATTCTTGAAAATTTTGGTTTGCAAACACATTTGACCCCCACTTCATTTGAGTTCTTTGATAGTCAAGTCTTTGATAGTCTGGTAAATGGATGTGGAGAAGAGGCTGTTGAAGTACAGCGGCTGGATTCTTAGGAAAATAGGTTTCAGAGAGAGCCGATTCCATTTCATACCTCACGTACGAGCGAGGTCTTTCATTTTCAGCAGTTAAATCATATGCTCTGTAATAGTCATTTTAGAAAGGGCTTCCTTAATTCATGATGATTGAAAAATTAGTAGCTTTGCAGGGAAGGGCCCTTAACTTATTATCCAGCTATATTAGCTCCTTAAATAATATTTGTTTCTATATGTATGCCTCCCTCTTGTACAATCAATACAAAAACTTCTGTGGTTCCCTAGAGGTTTAGCAGGGAAAGAAACTATTGGTGGCTTTTGTCTGTAACTACACTTTGATCCAGATATATTTTTTTGAAGAGTCTTTTCTTTTTAACCTGTAAAAGCTTTTAAGATTTTTAACTTATATATAAAAGCTATAGTGGTGTAGAAATTGATGTGTTAGGCATTGTTTTTACTAATTCCAGAGTCCACAGTAAATGTTAAACTCTATTCTTTTCATAAATAACGCAAACTGCATACTGATTCTGATACTGATATATATCAATATAAGCACATCCATGCTACATTATTTTATATCGTCAATGGAGAAGGCTGTGAGAATGTTTTGTTTTGTGGAGATTCCTAACAGGGTTCATCTTTACTCTGAGATGGAGCTAGAATATACTTTTTAAAGAGACATAAGCATAGAAACATCTGTTTTCATGCACCCATGGTGCACATTATTACTCCATCCCAAATGAGTTCCTATTCCTTGCTTTCCAATTTTATTATTTTCTTCCAAACCACAGAAGCAGGGCCGTGCATCTTTGAGGTGATTGATGATTTTGTCTGTCCTACTGATCTTAAAAGCCAGATGTGGAGGTCTTCTTCACAGTACCCCATCGTGGAGGCTGTCAGGATGGGGTGATATAATAGCTGTTGTCAATGTTTCTGTGATTACTAACTCCTGACATCCTTTTTTTTAAAAAAATATTTATTTGAAAGACAGAGTGATGGGGGGCATGGAGGGAGGGAGGGAGAGAGAGAGAGAGAGGAGGGGTACCTTTCATCCTTTTTTTCATTATCCAGTGGCCAAAGCTGGAGCCAGGGGTTGGAACTTCATTCAGATCTCCTACGTGGGTGTAGCAGCCCAAGAAATTGCCATGTTCTTCTGCTTTCCCAGGCACAGTAGCAGAGATCTGAATCAGAATACCTGGTACTTGATTTGCTGTTCTGATATAGAACGCTGGTGTTACAGGCAGGTGGCTTAACCTGCTGTACCACATCTGCCCCATCTAATATTCTTCTGAAAGAGATGTCTCAACCTGAGGTTTATCGTTTCCTAGGGGATGGTTGGGTGGGCATCAGAAGGTTTTTTAATTCTTTGAAATTTTTCACTAGGACCAGCATTGTGGCATGGTGGGTAAAGCCACCGCCAGCAACACTGGCATCCCATATGGCTCCAGTTCAAGTCCTGGCTTCTCCACTTTTGATTCAGCTCCCTGTTGATGTTCCTGAGAAAGCAGTGGAGGATGGCCTAAGTGCTCAAGTGTTTGGCCCCCGACATCCAAGTGGGAGATCCAGAAGCAGCTCCTTGCTCCTGGCTTCAGCCTGGCCCAGCTTTAGCTGTTGCGGCCCTTTGGCAGTGAACCAGCAGATGGAAGATTTCTCTCTCTCTCTCTGCCCTTCAAATAAATAATCTGGGGCAGGTGCTGTGGCATGGCGAGTAAAGCTGTTGCCTGCAGTGCTGGCATCCCATATGGGTGCCAGTTTGACACTCGGCTGTTCCACTTTCAATCCAGCTCTCTGCTATGTCCTTGGAAAGCAGTAGAAGATGGCCCACGTGCTTGAGCTCATGTACCCATGTGGAAGACCCAAAAAAAGCTCCTGGTTCCTGGCTTCAGCTTGGCCCAGCTCTGGTTATTGTGGCCATTTAGGAAGTGAACCAGATGGTGGAATGCCTCTCTCTCTGTCTCTGCTTCTGCTCATCTGCAACTCTGCCTTTCAAATAAATAAATAAATCTTTAAAATAAATAAATAAATAACATTTAAAAAAGAAAAAAAAATCACTAACTTCTGAATATAAGCATGAATATAACATTTCAATTATATTATATTTTTAAAGATTTATTTGAAAGTCAGAGTTACACAGAGAGAAGGAGATGTAGAGAGAGAGAGAGAGGTCATCCATCCTCTGGTTCACCCCCCAATTGGCTGCAACGGTCGGAGCTGTGCCCACAAGAAGCCAGGAGCCAGGAGCTTTTTCTAGGTCTCCCACGTGGGTGCAGGGGCCCAAGGACTTGGACCATTCTCTACTGCTTTCCCAGGACATAGCAGAGAGCTGGATTGAAAGTGGAACACCCAGGACTCGAACCGGCACTTGTATGGGATGCCGGCACCGCAGGTGGCAGCTTTATTTGCCATGCCACAGTGCCGGACCCATCAATCATATTATTAAAAGTTTTCTTTGGTATAACTATTTCCTCCCTCAAATCTGCACAGAAATATGAGAAATGTCCTAACTTTACTCCTTTGTCAGCAATTTGTTGCCAGAATCTCCTTAGGCTGTGTTAGAGAAGCATCCTTTGACCCTGTCCATTTTTCCTACATGTCCACCGCTCTTTTTCAAGGTGGGTATTTCTTAGGTGGGAAGTTGGCAGATAATGGGTGGTGGATGGATATCAGAGGGCATATATGTTTTACTTTGTTGAGACTTTCCCTTTTTTTTTTATGATTTATAGCATTTCTTTTTTTTAAACTTTTATTTAGTAAATATAGTTTTCCAAAGTAGTTTATGGATTACAATGGCTTTTCTCCCCCATAACTTCCCTCCCACCCACACCCCTCCCATCTCCCGCTCCCTCTCGCATTCCATTCACATCAAGATTCATTTTCAATTATCTTTATATACAGAAGATCAATTTAGTATATATTAAGTGGAGATTTCATTAGTTTGCACCCACACAGAAACACAAAGTGTAAAATACTGTTTCAGTACTAGTTATAGCATTAATCCACATAGTACAACACACTAAGGACAGATCCCACATGAGAAGTAAGTACACAGTGACTCCTGTTGTTGACTTAACAATCTGACACTCTTGTTTATGGCGTCAGAAATCTCCCTAGGCTCTAGTCATGAGTTTCCAAGGCTATGGAAGCCTCTTAAGTTCGCTGACTTCGATCTTATTTAGACAAGGTCATAGTCAAAGTGGAAGTTCTCTCCTCCCTTCAGAGAAAAGTATCTCCTTCGTTGATGGCTCATTCTTTCTACTGGGGTCTCACTCGCAGAGACCTTTCATTTAGTTTTTTTTTTTTTTTTTTTTTTTTTTTTTTTTCCCAGAGTGTCTTGGCTTTCCATGCCTAAAATACTCTCATGGGCTCTCCAACCAGATCTGAGTGCCTTATGGGCTGATTCTGAGGCCAGAGTGCTGTTTAGGACATCTGCCATTCTATGAGTCTGCTCTGTATCCCACTTCCCATGTTGGATCATTTTCTTCTTACACCCCTTTCTCTAATTTCCAAAGTGTTTAAGCACCATTCCTGCCCTTTCCTTCAAAGCCTCATGGATGAGTGAATAACCAACTAGTCACTAAAATCAGTTGTCTCATGTGCTTTGTGTGGCTTTTAGGCCCGCTTTAAGCTGCTTCTGTAAGAGAATGTGATAGGATAAGGGTGGGCAGGTCTAAGTGATCTCAGATCTTCTCAGTAGGATGACTCAGGAGCTGTGAGTCACTCTGCTGTTGTCTCCTACAATCTATTTATAAGTCTTAGAATGCTGGCTAATGTGGAGGCAGTTTTCATTACCTTCCTTGTTCCTGTTATCACCATCATCATCATTACTCCACATTATCTCATTTTACCCATGTTCCTTTTCTTGCTTGTACATTGCAAATACTTCTGTTCTTTTATTATGTGTTTCATTCAGCTCTTTGATTTGCCAGAATATGCCTATACCATTCGCTTATTCGATCTATGTGTATTTCCCAAGCTCTATGTATTAACAATTAACAGTTAATTAACAATTAACTAGCTCCAGTATTACAATGGTGAATAATACAGGAGCTCTGTTTTGTGTTATTCACAGTCCAATGGGGAATCAAGACAAACTAACAAGACAAAAAACTGGCTATAGTCACGTGCACAAGATTGTTATTTGGGATCAGAGATGTTGTCCAACAACAAAAAAAGGAACTGGTTATATATATTAGGAGGTCAGAAAAAATTCATAGAGCGTGGCATTGGGTCAGCTGATGTCTGGGAGGGGTGAGTGAAGAAGATCAAGGGAAAGGGAAAACCTTGAGCAGAGACACACAATACCGAAAAAGACAGAAGTGTTGCCAGAGCAGGTGGTTTAATTCACCTCTGTATGCCTGTTGTCATGTTAACTATTAGCCTTGCAAAAGTAGACGCTTAATGTACCTTTGGATGGATGTATTGTAAACACGTAAAATAAGGTCTTGTTAAAAGATTCCCAGCCTTATTATTTTTTACAGATACTTTTTTAATCTTTTCATCTACTTTTTAGAGTTCCCTCACCTAAAATCAATTAACAGATTAGAGAGGATAAAAATGGGAGCATACTTTATTTTCCCACTGAAGTATAGCCTATAGGCAGATCTTGTTCCATAAACTCAGTAAACCACGTATTACATAGTTACATTAATTAGTCACTGAAAATTGGGCTAGTCAAAGTTTTTCATTTGAAGGAAATTGAATCAACAACTGGATATGATGCTTTAGCCATAAGCAGGGCAATAACTTTGACAAACTTCAAAATAATTCCTTAATAATTTGACATATAGAATTAAGAGTTATTTTAAAATTTACATTTTAGAAAACAGTTTGAAAAAAACAAATGTATCCTAATAGTTCTCTTGTATTTTTAGTGTTGAATTTGTAACTTTGCCAGAGTAGAAACAATTTTACCTGATATCAGTCCACACTCCCTGAGTTCAAATCACAGCGTTTTACAGGAGGAATAGTTGCTGTGCTCTCAATACTAAGTAGAATAAAATATTATATTAATAGGTACAAATATTTCTGGGAGAAGAGAGATGTGAGAAGTGGGTGGGGGAGATAAAAGTAAGCCAGATGTATGCAGATATGCAGGTAGTGCATGACACAGAAAGCCTAATTTTAAAAAATATCCAAATCTGTTTTATTGCTGCTGCAAAGCCATGTGCATATGTGTGAATGTGTGTGTGTGAAAACATGTGTGTTTGTGCACATATGTGTCTGTGACAGGGAACTAATATTTGGTAGATGTGATTAACATTGTAGTGAGAAGTGCTTTTGAACCAGCATTGTTGTACAGAGGGTAAAGCTGCTGCCTGTGATGCCAGCATCCCA